CTTGCACCGGTGGGGGAAAATCAGTAGTGTGTAAAACTGCTGATATTTTAGTGTGAATCTGAGCAGTAGCACCAAACTGTAGTAGGAGCCACCATATACTTCCCGTTCCTCACTCATGGGGGAGTCGCAAGGGGATGCCAGTTTCACTTAAAACTGTAAAAATTATTAAATTTATTAAGACATGACTCTTGAGCACATGCTTTTCTCATATTCTGTGTGATGAAATGGGAAGTATACCTAAGTAGTTCTGCGGCATACTCAAATATTATGGTTGTCTCCAGGGATAGGATTTGTGATTGAGCTGCTATGGAACATTATATTTACTTGAAATAACAACTGTGAGATAAACTATGGTTTCAGTTTCAGGGCATTTGGGTATTTGGCAGATAGTTTTTTCAAAAAAGAATGAAGTAAGCCTGTCACTTCAAGGAAAAGAACTGATAGTATTTGTTGATGATGATAAATTCAAGTTTGCAAGTGAATTTAGAGTTTTGGAAAATTTACATTTATGAGCTCGATGTTTTCCTAATACGTAAAGACTTTTCTAATGAGTTGGATACTGATATTAACTAATGTGATGTGGGTTTTCTTTGATATTAAATAACAAAATGTGTTACTATTTTGAAGATATGTTTAACTCCCAGTGAATCATTGCTAAAAAAATTTACAGCATCAAGCATAGATAATAGATCCCTTCAAATTGCAAGATAGATCAATTGGTTTTAATGCAACAGAGTATGGAAAGTTCACTGATATCGTTGGCTTCAGATTAAAATCATGACTAACCTTTAAGAAACTACCACTTACTGAGTTTTGGTGTTGTATTAAAGAAGAATATCCACAACTATCTGAAAATGTTATAGCAATGAATATATCTGTGTGACTTTTGAGAGTGATCTACTGTGCATGCCTGACTGATGAAAAGTGTGGGGAGGACAAATATGAGTTGAAGGAGATAAATTAGTACATCAAAATGATAAAATAAACTGGTGCATTCTGGGAATAAAATTCATCGTGGACTTTGCCTTACCATTTGAGCAAGCAGTGGTCTAGACGGACAGACATGGAAGGGAATTGCTGTCCTCTCCCTCTTAAATCTTCATGAGTTTTCTTACTTCTTTTACTTTTCTTTCTTGTTAGCACATTTGTGACATTTTTAGCTTTCTTAAACTTTAATTAATGTATGGCATCTTATTATCCTGTTTTACACGGTAGGAAAAAAACAATGTGGAGGAAATTGAAGAGAAGATGGAGAGTTCTGTTCTCTGTGTGGGAAAAAAAAAGCCCCTGACTAGAGTGACATCTAGGAATGCATTGTGTAATCGTTGTTAGGGGAATTCTGGCAAACTGAGTTCATGCTAACACACCTGCAAACTGGAAGGTACAAGCAGGGGCACCTGGGAGCCTCACCTCCTCCAAATGCAACTTAGTCGGTCTTAGCTCACAGGTCTCTGCATCTCTCTAGCATTCAGAGATTATTATGCCCCGTTTATGCAGCCCAGGTTTGATTTTCATAGTTGGAGGGAGGGTTCTCTGGTGGGATATCAGGAACACCAAGTGGCAGACAGAGCCAGAGGGTATTGTGCATAGAGGGAGTTGACATAGGGTTTGAAAGTCAAGAAGAAGTAACTGAACCCATTTTCTCGATTGAGACTCACTTGTTTCCTTACAGTCTGTTTCTTTAGTCTCTGGAAGAATAAACTTAAAGGAATGTTCATCATATGTGGTCTCTGGACCAAGTGCATCAGAATCATCTAGGGAACTTACCAAAATGCAGATTTCTGGGTCCTTAACCAGTCTGCTGAATCAGACCTTCTGGGGACAGAGGAATCTGCATTTAGAAGAAACTCTCCAAGTCTTGTACACAATAAAAAGCTTAAGAACCACTGGCATTACAAGCTTTTTCCTGTACTTATTTTCAATGTATTTTTATCAAAGTGAAATGATCTAATTCTGATGAAATTCTGGACCAAAGGGAATGAATGAAAGCAGAGATAAAACAGCATATGAAGGGGCACCTGGGTGGCTCAGTCAGTTAAGCGACTGCCTTCAGCTCAGGTCATGGTCCCAGGGTCCTGGGATCGAGCCCCACATAGGGCTCCATGCTCAGTGGGGAGCCTGCTTCTCCATCTCCTGCTCCCCTGCTTGTTCTCTCTCTCTCTCTGTCAAATAAATAAAATCTTAAAAAAAAACAGCATATGAAATCCCTCATGTATTTTTGTATTTAGGGTATTAATGTTTCTTTGGTCGGAGAAAAATTAAATGCTCCAATTACAAAGTCTGAAGGGACTTTGTAGATGCTGGTTGTTAAAAGAGGATTCTGAAAACACATTATTTTTCTTTATCTTAAGGAAGGAAGACTTACATGTTTTGTCAAAAATGTCAGTTTCTGTGATTTTTGTGCTCTAGGAAAACTATCTGAAATCTGCCTGAACTGTGTATAAAATGAAGCTCTTAGGAAGATAAATGCTTGATCAGAAATGCTAACAAGTTCCAGGTTTTCTTTCATATACAGTTAAACAAAAAGTTCCATGTTGTCACGGAAGATAGGAAGATAAAGAGTCAGATGAAGATACAGTTTACTTTCTTAGTTTGTATGTTCCCTTCTAACTCATATTTTGATTCATTTGTACTGCCTCCTAACTTTAATTTATGAGCTTCAGAATGTGACTGAGTTCAGTTCATGAAGAAAAGGTTTATAAATGTAGAGGTGAACTTTCAGCTTTGCTTGCACGAGAGATTACCTGTTTACTGTGTGGTCAACACGAAATGTAAACTAGGCGACTACACCACCATGTTATTTTAAGACTAAATGGAAAGAACTAACGGAGCATTTTTAGAATGGAAAAGAGTCAATAAAACCAAATCTAAAATTAAAAATTAGACTGATACTAATTAAAATGGGCAAAGTCAGGAAATTCAAAATCTCTTTTCATCAGCAATTACACCTCCTTTAGATAATAGTTCAAAAATCATGTCACATGTCTCCAATAAAAAAATAAGGTCACATCCAATGCTTTCTTAGTCAACTTATTTAATTCAGCTGAATTATTTCATTCTGTTGAGGCTATTAGTACTGATGTGGCTTTGTAGTTATAGACTGAAACATGAACGGATTGAATCGGGAATAGAGATGGGGCTGAAGCTAATGCTAGCAATGAGATCCTGTGGCTCATTTGTTTTCTTTTAAATAGTTTTGTTTTTCCTTTTACCAAAGTTATAGTATGCTCACAGCCAAAAATTCTGAGCATGAGAAAGTGTACTAAGGTCACATTGCTGCATTTTGATATATGCTACATATTATCTCGTAGTATGAATGCACACTGCCATTACACAAGTATATTTATGTATACATACTTGTATGTAATATGTATATGTGTGTACATATATGTGTGTACCTATCAAGAAAGCTGCTTAGTAAATTTGTTCACCAAACAATATTTTATAGACATCTGTTTATATATATTTCTATAAAATTTTTATCACATTCCATTATGATTATAGTTCTGCATAGTATTTTGTAATTTGCATGTACCATAATAAAATTGATTCCCTTATTAATGGGCATTTAGGTTGTTTCCACTGTTTCCGCTTTTGTAATCAATATACTGTAACCCCTTGCCTGAAAGTTTTCTTAGGATAAATCCTGGAAGAAGAATTTCTGGGTTAAAGGGTATGCCCATTTAAAAATTTGAGATATATTGTCAAGTTGTTCCCAGAAATGTTGTGCCATTTTATACCCCCCTCTTTTTTTTAGAGGGGGGGGCAGAGGCAGAAGGAGAGAGGGAATCTTAAGTAGGCTTCACACTCAGCATGGAGCCTGATGGGCGGCTCCATCTCACAACCCAGAGATCATGACCTGAGCTGAAAGTAAGAGTTGGACACCTAACCGACTGACTCACCCAGGCGCCCCTGTGCCATTTTATACTCTTACTAGCAATGTCCTTGAAGGTGATAACTTTGGAACATTATGAACAATACTGGGTTTGCTTAATCTCTTAAATCTTTGTAAATATAGCATGTCAAAAATGGGATTCTTACTTTAATCTTCATTTGTTTGATGTAGTATCCAGAGATTCCCTGGAGACTCTGTGTGCCCTGGGGATTGGTGGGCTGTGTAGTCATACCCTAACTTGGTTGGTATGCCTGACGTTCTTAAGACAGACAAGGGAAACAATGATTTCACCTGGTCACTAGGTGATTAATGAACAATGTCTTGGAGACACAAGCCAGATTTGCTGGATGGAAAGTCACTTCTCCTCTTCCTTCCAAACTTTCTCTTTTAAGACCCAATATAAATAGCTCTTTCTACTCTTCTTTTCCTTTGCAAAAATAATAGCTTATTTGGTCATGGGTCCAAGGTTAATGACTTATTAAGAAGAATCCAGATCTTTGAAATACTAAGGAACTTACTTGCCTGCCGTAGGGCTATGGGGGGAGCCCTGACCTGATCCCAGAAATACAAAATCTGGCTTTCTAAAACTTGGGAGGGGGTAGGTAGGAAGAGAAAGGAAATCATTTCATTCCTTCTTGAAGAGTCACTCTCTCTCTCTCTCTGTCTTTCCTTCTCTTTCTATCTCTTTCTGTCTCTTCCTCCCTATCTCCTTCCCTCAATCTCTCTCAGTTCCAAAAGGGTCACTTTGGAATTTCTGCCCTCTGCCTTTTTTTTTTATCAGAAATCCCATTTTTCATTAGATTTAGAAGTTTAGGAAACATTTGACTCTTAAGTGTTTACCACAGAACGTTGAGATCATGGTAGATAAATTTAGTTTATATATACATGATCACTTTTGGTCCTGCCCCAAAACTCTGAAGGATTTAATTCCCAGGGAGGAGCCACAGTGAACCCGGGTTTCACCGTTTACCACAAAACTATTATTCTCAGTAGTTATTGGATTTTTAACTCTGGTTTCCTATAAGAAATTTAGTTCTGATCAACACCCTGTTATTTTATTAACCTAATGTTGCCTTCACAATATCTTTTTTTTTGTTTCATGCAGGCATTCTTACACCGAATGAACCAGTGTGCCGCATCAAAAATTGACAAAAATGTAACAGAAGAAACAGTGAAGGTGAGGAGGCGCAGTTGGCCCTCAACCCAAGTGCACATTCCCCTTTAGCTAAAATTTCATCTGTGGGATGTTACTCTAGGCTCTTCAGCTTCTCCTCTGTTCCAGGATAAGTTCTGCGCCAGTCACTTAAATGGGCGACCCTGAGAAAAAGGGAAATGAGGGTTTGGGAAGAGAAACAGGGTGATGAGGATGGTGTAGAAGACATGGAGCAATTTTTTGCCAAGGCCTTAGGACAGTTTGAAAAGAGGAAGAAAAACAAACCCACAACTGAGAATCTCAGCGTCTGTGGGGGGTGGGGGCAGAGCCTGTGTGAGAGCATTGCCAGAGGCGTCTTGGGAAGGCAAGATGTGGACAGATTTGACTACCAGTCTCTGATCACCAAGAACAAACGATTTGGATGGTTCAATGGTGCAGAAAACGTCTGCATAATATCTTCAGCTCAGAAACAAATGTATAAGCCTTTCCTTTGAGGCTGCAGGGAAGGAAAATGATGAAGAGTTTTGTAAAGGGGAAAGAGGTAAATGAAAATTAATTGTACTACCATCATTATTCATTTAAACTGTATAAATTATCATTGATATTTATTTTTGGTGCTGATTTGCCGTTTTATTTTACTAAAAAAAATTCCCAAGGATTTTTATAGGCCCTTCTGACTATTTTTTCATAAATTAAATACTAACTTTCAAATTCTCCTTACCATGGGAGCATTTTAGTTTGTATGCTTTAGGTTGCAAGCAAAAGACACTTATTATTCAAATGGCTTGAAGATACTTCGGCTCTCATTTGGGGACTCCAGACAGAAGAGAAGGTTCAGGACCTGTGACTCAGGGAGATCAATAAGTTTGCCAGGTTCTGTCTAGCTCTTCACTTTGCCATCCAGGTTATCCGCTTTGCCCCTTGTCTGGCTCCTCTCGCCGCTGACCCTGTAGCTGCCCAGCTGTCACTTCAGACACAGCCCCTTTCCAGAGGGGAAGAGGGCTGTCCATTCCAGGATGCCCTTCCAGAGAGCAAAGAAGCCCTTGCCCCCAAAAGCCTGCCAGCAAGTCCGCCTGCACTAGGTTATCTGCCACCCATTCTCACTAATGGAGTGGGGACTGTCATGCTTGGATTTAGTCACTCAGGCTTTTCCTGAGAGCCAGGAATAGGTTCCTGGTTCCCAGAGTTGTGTGGGAGTGGAAAGGATGTCCAGACAAAATTGGAGCTCTGCCCTCTGGGCAGGTGGGAAGGATAGCTATGCCCCAAAGTTTTCAGCTTGGGGAGAGAATGCTGTACTCTCATGGAGTTTTGTGGGTTTTTTTTTTTTGTTTTTTTTTTTAAACTGCTTCACTATTACACTTACTTACATTTATTTGCAGATGCTGTTCTCAAACATTGAAGATATCCTCGCTGTACATAAGGAATTTTTAAAAGTCGTGGAAGAATGCCTACATCCAGAACCTAATGCTCAACAAGAAGTGGGAACCTGCTTTCTTCACTTTGTAGGATCAATTTCTGTTTATTTTAAAAGCTCTTCCCCACCCCCACTCCTGATTTTAAGGTTTAGCTTTTGGCACAGTAGAATGTGAGAATTCAGCATTAGAAGTAAAATGTAACACCAAAAGTTTGGGGTCTTTTAAGGCCAATGAAACCTTCCACTGAGAGCCAGAAAAGGGGTGATCCATTTTATTCAGTGAAGAATAAACAGCCTTTTCTTTTTCCCAACAAGTTAGTTCTTCGCATCCTCTGTAGCTTTGAATTCTAATGAATATTCAGGCTGTTCATAATGAATGGATTTTTATGTTTCTCTCAAACATAGAGCATATCCCTTTTGAGGCAGAAAATCCTTACTCTTATAATGGCATGATGAGCCTTTTGTGAGTCAGAATGTTCCCTTGTTAATCGACTGGTGACAAGCCTGCAGGTGAATCAGCCGTGTCACTCTAGGTACACAGATGCCTGAGTCTCAGTGTTTCTCAAGGATGGTTTCTCAGAAGGTTGTACTGAGTGGTGCAGAAGAAAAACCAGCCAGTCCTCAGTTGTTTCTTACACGTCACGCTCGTGTGATCATTTCCGTCTCTTTGGACATGGTAGTTGAAATTATTTGTGCAATTGATTTATAAAGTAAAAAGACACCCGTAAAATGAAAATTGTTTTCAGAACTAAAGGGCATTCATACCAAAAAAAAAAAAAAAAAGTGCTATTTATACCATTCCACTGATGCTAATTTTCAGAATACCCACCTGAATTCCTTTCTTTACCAAAATGCTATATAATTAATCTTTTATTTAAAAATGCATAAGAGTATTTTATCATAGAAATCAATTTTTGTTTATTTTTATTTCTGTTTAGCCTTTAGAAAGGTAATGATATGTAGCTTCTAGGTCTGTATTTCTATATGTAGTGAGCAGACGCTGCATATGTTCTTTTTATAATCAGGAAATATTTCATAAAGGTAATTAATATTAAATGGAGAGAAGCTCCTTGGCATAGGAAGATCAAGCCATGCTTTCTTTGGGCATGACTGGAAACCATGCATGTTTGTGTCCACTTAATCCAGACTGTTCCTTTTCATGAAAGAATTCAAATCTTCTGCCAGCTGGAGCATTTGCTTTCTTAGTCCAGGGCCGCACATGGGAATCTTGCACCCTGACATCCATTTCCTCAGTAACACACTATGAATCTGTCATCCATGAATTTAGCTAAACTATTTTTGAAGTGTGTTTCATTCTGGGTCATACCATCTCTTGAAATAAGTAATTCAGTATATTTTCTACTGGCTATATAAAATAGCACTCAGTGTTGCTTTCCAAATGCATGTCTTGGAAATTTCAGAGGACACACTTCTGTTCCAATATTTGATCGATACATTTTCTGTGCCTTCCTCTTATTGGTACTGCTTTGATAGATACTAATCCTAGCCACTGAGAGAAAATCTAATGATGGAAGGATACTTAGAGATCATGATGGTGAAATTACTCCCTTTTCAAAAGTACCTCTTCTGTTGCAAATGTGAGGGTTGTTTATTTTGTTCCTAACTTGATCATTTTTAGTGACAGCTCCAAGCATTAGAGAATCTTTATGTTAATCCTGAATCTGCCTACCATTGCCCATCACTGATTGCCCTGGCAATTTCTACCCAGGGGTCTTAGTTTTGTGCTTTGGAGCTACATAGAGTTTTAAGTCTGTTACAATATGACAGCTATCTAAAAGTAGCTACCATTTCCTTACTTTATTATACTAACAAATATCTCTTTTTGAAATGACCTCTCATGTGTAGTGTCTCCAAAGTCCATCATTATCTTAGTCACTTTTTGCTTGATATTCTCCTGTTTGTCCATGTCCCTCATAAACACAACTGTCCAGATTGGTGCATACAAACTACAGGATACTAGGTCTCTCTATTCCTGTATGATCTGGCACATGCTCTTCCCTCTCCCTAAAATGCTTCCTTCCCTCTCCCTGCCTGGGAATGATGGATTGATTCATCTCTCTGGACCTTGCTCAGGTATTACTTTTTTTTTTTTAAAGCGGTATCTGAATCCTCTCAGGAAAGCTAAGTACTTTCTTCTCTGTAATTTGCTACTGTTTGGTTCATTTACTTATTATTGCATACATCATATTGGACTCTAGTTAATATAAGCTATCTTTTTTCCTAGGCTATTCTTCATGGATCAGAGAAAATTGATAAATAAACTGTAGAGCTCCCAAAATATAGTAAATATAGTAAACACTTTGGACACATAAAGCTTGTCCACAAACATCACACAGGTTAATCTTTCCAAATGGCTACTAACATGACTCTAACTTATCCTTATTCAAATTCACAGAAAGACAAGTTTCGTATCTACGATGAATATTGTAGTAACCATGAGAAGGCACAAAAATTGCTTCTTGAACTTAACAAAATAAGAACAATCCGCACATTTCTTTTGGTAAGTATATGTTTAAGTGTTACCATATGCTGTGATTTATTGATAGGCTCACTAAGGAGCCAACGACTAGCATCAGTGTGGTGTAAAAACTACTCGTGGAGCAATGCTCTAAATGTGTCCAGGCTAGGAGACTAGAGTCCTTTGATAAATGTAAGAAGGGAGAGTTGGCAGAAGCTTGTGCATGGGAAAACACTGATAATGCCCTCTCCTGGTTGACTATGAATTGTTTGTGAGAACCACAGATTCCTAGTGCGAGAAGACGTTTATGCCAGAGTTCATCATCGCTTTTATATCCCTCAGCTCCCTAGGGTTTCATTTACTTTTTCTAAGAGAGCTGTAAGTGGGGCGGTCACAGGAAGGAAACAGATCCTGGGTATTGTAGAAAAGAAATTTAAAGATAGACCTTTCTTCTACATACATTCCTTATTCACTTTTCACAGAAAGAACAAGAATATATATTTAATTTCTCCAAAATGCATATTTTGGTAGTAATTTGGACAATTGCCAGTGAGGACCACATCGTAATTGTACAATTCAATAATATTTAGCAAATTGTGGAGTGGAGCAACCATCCCCGTTATCCAGTTATAGAGATTTCCAGCACCCCAAAAAGTCCCTCATGCTTGTTCACTGCCCACTCTGCAACCACTGTGAACTCTAGGCAATCATTTGATTTACTTTTGATCTCCATAGTTTGCCTTTTCTGGATAGTTCATATAAATGGAATCCTTCAATGTACTTTTTTTTGCCTGGATTCGTTTATTGAGTAAAATGTTTTGAGGTTCATCCTCATTATAGCATATATCCATATGCCATTCATTTTTATTGCTAAATAGTATTCCATTGTATGGATATACCATATTTTGTTTATCTATTTGCCAGTGTATGAACATTGGGTCAGCAAGCAAGTATGATTAATAATGGACCTTGAAGATCATTTCAGAGAGAGATATTTATTAGTACAGAAAAGTCAGGAAATGTCCATTTTGAGCTATTTTATAAACAATGCTGAGATGAACATTCACGTGCAAGTTTTTGTGTGAATAATTTTCATTCTCTTGGGTAGATGCTAAGAGTGGAACTGCTAGGTCACAGTAAGTTTATGTTTAAGAAACTGCCAAAGTGACTGTGCCATATGCCCCAGCAATGTATGATGATTGCAGTTTCTTTTTATCTTTGCAAACACATGGTATTACCAGTTCCAAGTATAGCTGTGATAGTGGATGTGTAGTTTATCTCAAGGTTATTTTTATTTGCATTTCTCTCATGGCCAGTGATATCAGGCATGCTTTCTAGGTTCTTATTAGCCATTCCACATATCCTGTTGGTGAAATGCTTATTCAAATCTTTTGTCCATTTTTAAATTGAGATGTTTATCTTATTGAGCTATAAGTGTTCTTTATTTTGGAGACAGCTACTGTATCTGATATATAATTTGTGAATATTTCCACCCAGTGTGGTTTGTTCGTTTAAAAATGTTATCTTTTGAAAATCAAAATTCTTACATTTTGTTGAAGTCCGATTTATTAAATTTTTTCCATATGAACATGTTTTTGTTATATTTAAGAAGTCTGTATTTGGGTCTTATACTTTGTTAAGTTTATTACCAAGTGTTTTACCCTTTTTGATGCAGTCGTAATTGGAATGATCTTAATTTCATTTTTTTGGATTGTTCATTGCTACCATATAAACATCTGACTTTTACTTATTTTTGTTTATTGTATATTTTTGTATTCTGTGGTTTAAATTCATGTATTGTTCTAGTAGGTTTTTTTTTGTAGATTCTCTAGGATATTTTACATATGGGATCGTGTCATCCGAGAGTAAAGACAGTTTTATTACTTCCTTTTCAATATAGATGTCTTTTTTTTTTTTTTTTTTTAACCTGGGCTTTTGCACTGGTTAGAACCAGTACAATGTAGAATGGAAGTGGTAAGAACAGACATGCCTGCCTTGTTTCTGATCTTAGGGGGAAATCAGTTTTTCATCATTAAATGTGATGTTAGCTGTAGGTTTATTTGCAGATGTCCTTTCCTGCTTGAAGAAGTTCTACTATATTCATAGTTTGTTAAGAGTTTTTATTGTGACCTTTTTGCCTTTTCCAGTATAGGTGTTTAAAGCTATGAATTTTGCCCTACACACTGCGTTAGTTTTATTCCATAAAATTTGACATGTGTTTTCATTTTCATTCAGTTTTCGAGAATGTCTAGTTTGCTTTGTAATATCTTTAGTCTATTCTTTATTTAGAGTTTGTCTTGGAAGGCAGTTCTGCATGGGACTTGTGTCCCTGCACATTTTCTGAGCAGAGGAACTGACTGCCTTTGTTCTGGCCGATCTTTTAAAGGATGTTTATATCACCAACAGCCTCAGAAGGTAGAGATATTCTCTTCCTCCTAAGAGGCGGGCAGTCACGCCGGCTGCCCTCATGAAAGATACACGTTTCTTCGCTTCAGGTCTCCTCTCCTGGTGTCCATGTGCATGGGCCACCTGGTCTTCCTTGTTTTGCGATGTGGGAACTGAGCCGTGGGAAACTGGCCCCAAAATAGTGATACTCTGGCTACCGCTATTGCTATAAGGAAAAAAAAGTCCTATAGGGCGCCTGAGTGGCTCAGTTGGTTAAGCGACTGCCTTCGGCTCAGGTCATGATCCTGGAGTCCCAGGATCGAGTCCCGTATCGGGCTACCTGCTCGGCAGGGAGTCTGCTTCATCCTCTGACCCTATCCCCTCTCATGTGTTCTCTCTCTCTCATTCTCTCTCTCTCAAATAAATAAATAAAATCTTTAAAAAAAAAAAAAAGTCCTATAGCTCTGGCCTAGGAGTGTCATGTGTTCTTCCAGCACCCATAAATCTCTGGCAGGTTAACTTTTGAGCTTGCAGGTAGGGTAAAGTCTTAGCATCAGTTTTAACATTCTGTTATTTTATTTCCCAATATTGGAATTTTCCAAATTTTTTTCTGTAGTTGATTTTTTAAATTTAATTCCATTCTGGCCAGAGAACATATTTAAATCATTTTAAGGCATTTTTATGGCTTAGCATATGGTCTGTCCTGGAGTTTTTGTTTTTTTTTTTTTTCCTCTGTATGTTCCATGTGTGCTTAAAAACTATGCATATTCTGCTGCTGTTGGGCGGAGTGTTCTATAAATGTTAGGTCATTTTTGTTCATAGTGCTGTTTCTGTCTTCTTTGTCCTTTCCTCTAGGTGTTCTGTCAGTTACTGAGGGTAGGATATTGAAATCTATAGGTATAATTGTTAAATTGTCTGTCTTGCCTTTCAGTTATGTCAGTTTTTGTTTTAAGTGTTTTGGGGCTCTGTTGTTAAATATGTATTCATTGAAAGTGCTTGTATTTATATTTCTATTGATCATAAAATGTTTTTCTTTGTCCCTAGGGATATTTCTTTTCTTAAAGTCTATTTTGCCTCATATTATTGTAGCCATGACACTTCTTGTACTGTTTGTATGTTATATCTTTTTCCATTATTTTCCTTACAAACTAGTTATGTCTTTCAATCTAAAACATGCCCCTGGAAGACAGTATATAGTCGTATCTTGCTTTTTTAAAAAATTTTATTTTATTTAAATTCAGTTAGCCAATGTATAGTACGTCATTACGGATCTTGCTTTTTTATCCAGCCTGACAATCTCTGCCTTTTGATTGGAGTGTTCCATTCATTGATCTTTAATGTAATTATTGATATTGTTGTATTGACATGTACCATTTTATCGTTTTTTCTGTATGTGTTTTTTTCTTTTGTTGTTGTTGTTCCTCTGTTCCTCCTTTACCTTCCTTAGTGTACTATTTTACTTCCACTGTTGATTTTTTTAAACTACGTATTTTAGGTTTTTTTGGGGGGGTGATTGCTCTAAGAACAATATTCATCTTAATTTATCAAGTCTATTTCCTGAAGTTGGTTATTGTTTTTTGTTTGTTTTGTTTTGTTTTTAGTAACTTTCCTGGACTTGATTTGAGGACCTGTGACTCTTGTATGTGCAGCTGTTATCTCTACTCTTTATAATTTAGCCTTTCTTTTTAGGGGTCACTCCAGTGACTGTTTAACTTAGTTCAGTTGGTGATTTGTCAGTTAACTGTCTTGTCTGTGGATCTATGTGTGAGTTTGGGGGGTGCGGGAGACATTCAGAGGGCAGGCAGTTTTCAAGTCAGATCTGGATTTTTCTTTCACTGGGGATACCCTCCCTCCCCTTGGGTGTTTTCTGCATGTGCACAGTCTGGCACCTGCTCCAAGGAGGGCTGCAATCTCAGGCTAACAGAACTGTGGGCATTCTCCATTTTTCTTATGGAGTGTGCTCATTTTATTGGCAACACCCCCAGGTGTGAGACTTTTATTCTCTGCAGCCCCATCTGGAAGCCCCATCCGGTTTTCAGGGCCCCTGTCATGGGGCCACCGCAATAGAGCCACTGTTCAGGGTGCGCTGGGGAAGGTGGGGGAGGGGGAGGCAGGGGGAAGGTGGGAGAAGCTCAGGTGAGGATGCCATAGACTCCCACCGTTCTTACCTGAAAATTCAGCAGCTTTTCATGAATAAACACATCTCAATTTTTTGTTTGACTTTAGTTGATTTCCCGAGCCCTGAAATTGATATCTTTGACAATTTTGCTGAGTATTAGTTGTTTTTTGGGAAGAGGATTTACTGATCCCTTTTCTCTGCCACAGCCAGAAGAAGCTCTATGCCACTAAAATTTTAGGGCCCTTTATATAAAGTGTTAGAACTTTGTCGTCTTAGTGAATCCATTTCACTCTCAGCAGAGCTGACTGTTTGCCTTGGTCTAGTTTATTGACTGAATTGTGTCAAGCCCTGCCAGTAGTCTCAGAGGAGTGCTGGTTTTTAGATGATCCTACAGCACAGTCTGGTAGCAAACCTGGGCTTTTATAATTCCTGCCCTGGCACTCAGTGGCCACTAATTACCCGAATGACTTTAGGAAATTCATTATATTGCTGGTGTCATTTTCCATCTCCATAAAATGGGGATAATAACAGTCACCCTTGGGAAAACCGGTAAGAGTTTACAGATTTGGTGGTGGTATTATTTGGAGTACTTGGATATATGCTGTCACCTCAATAAGTTGTCATCATCAGGGAAATCTCTGGGAGCTCAGGGAGAAGACATTCTTTATGTACACATTAGGAGAGAGCTGGCTTTCATAAGCCAGTCTAAAGTGGCAACCAATGTCTGCTATTATGAAGACAGTTCATAATCTATACCGTACTATTAGACAAGGAATTAACAGTGTGTTAAGCCGTCATGAATTTCTTAGGGTGCTTCAACCCAGAGCTAGGTAAAGGCGGTGGCCGCATTTGTAAGGGGTGCTAACTTGTGTAGGGATACTGAAACATCACCGGAAATATAGTGAGATGTACATAGATGTGTTTCACATGGCTCCCCTGGGGACAATACCATGCAGAGTTGGAAAGAATATTTTGATAAACTGATTGCAATAGGGGATGAGGCCCTCAAAGAGCATGCTTGAGTCAGAACGCTTCTTTGCTGCCCCGTCTTCTAAAGTGCCTGGGTGAAGTTAAAGTCATGGTGTTAGTTTTGCTGACTTGAATACACAAATTGCTGCTAAAGCCAAGTTGCTCAGGTCAGTGGGGCGGTTGTTCTGCTACCCTCAGTCTTTCCTTTTCATCCTTTCCTGCTCAGCACTTGGTCTCTCTTCTCAATGAATATAGGACAGTAGTAGTCTTAAAATGGTGGTCTAAAGGTTGATGAATCATCAGTATGATATTTGAGGGGCCCTTTTCTCCCTTTACTACGTATTTGTTAACTGCTTTCTTTTTGCCAGTTACTCTGATAGACATTGCAGAAGCAGGATTTGGCACAAGTTTCAAACCTTTTTTTATTGATGGTCAAACTATAAACCAAAGACCAGATGCTTCAGGCTTTTTTTTTTTTTTTTAAATGAGAGTTGATTTTCTCTTCTATTTCATCTTACTCTGCTGATTTTGAGATTTCTCCATTCATCTTGCCTCTCTGGGGATCATATCTGACCTCCTTCTCTGAGATTGGCTGGCCAGTTTCATTGGTGAGGTGTTATAGCTGAAAGTGACTTAGCAATCACTTCGTTGAAACATGACAGTTTGACAGGTTTACAGGCAGGAAAACTAGCATTCTGAAATCAACCCAAGTTACATCACTAGTCAGTGGCAAAGCACGTATAGAACCCAGTTGTCTCTAGGCCTGCTCTTTACCCCACAACACAACACCACAATTCAACTACAACACAACTCCCTTTATAAGTAGGATTGATCTGTGTATCTTTGTGTCTATTACTTATTCATCCATCAGTCCATTCATCTGTCTGTCCATCCATCCATCCATCTACCCACTCATCTATCTATTCCTCCGTCTCTATCCTATCTCTTTTTCCTCAGACTTCATAGTCAGGAGAATATATAATAATTAATATTCAAAACATTTTGGTTTCTATAACTAATACGAAATGGAAAAATACTTCTCTTTGTCTTCTGTAAATGGTATTTGTGATTGCAAGGGCTCATCTCAGAGAAAGAAACTGTATGGAGACAGGCTTTCACAAGTTTTAGCAGAAGATTTTATGATAGAAGAAAATTTCATGGCTTCAGGTTTAAAAAATCGTAATTAATTATTTTTATCTCCACTGCAGAACTGCATGCTACTTGGAGGACGGAAGAACACAGATGTTCCCCTGGAAGGATATTTAGTAACACCAATACAAAGAATTTGCAAGTACCCTCTCCTTTTGAAGGTATTTTATGTGTTTATTTCACTGTAGTATTTTCCTTGTACCTGCATATTTTGCTGATGGTCTTTAAAAAATTTTTGTTTTTTTTTT